ATCTGATGTGTCCTTGCCCCTCACCTGCCCACTAGAAGCTCCTCGAAGGTTATTTTAAGCCAGAGCTTAATTTTTAAGGAATCGGTAATGAATCTTCTTTAATCTCTTAATCCTCTTGCCTACTTCTCTTTTACATTAAGGGATTAAGTCTTGGAGAGGGGACGTGGCCAAACAGTGACTCACTCTCTCCCCAGAGGCAGCCAGAGGAGAAGGTGCACATAGCTCAACTCAGAAATCACCAGAATCGGCCCATTTATCTGAACTTCCCTTTCATGGTACAAAAGAATTGGTCTTTCAGGGATGCTCATCTTGCTGCTGTTGTATCTACGGTGGAATATACTATCATGAGGCTGATCTTGCTAGTTCATGGTCATACACAGTCTGCCCTGAGCTGCTTGGCTCATGGTAGGATGGGCCACCCTGAGTCATCTGAAATCTGGCCCAGTCCCCTGAGAGCCCACTCATTTGCCTGGTGATAGGCCAGGGTTAGTGAAGAAGCCGACTCTGGGGCCCATGGAGAGGGGCTGGATAGGTGCCCTGGTGCACCCTGGTACCCAAAGCAGCTGAGAAGGATGAAGAGAGGCCCAAGGCTCCAGCTGGCAGAATAGAGCCTAGGCGAGTCCATTCTCTCGACAGAGCCGGGAAATGGTTGTGTTCACCGAGTTCTATGCACCTGACTCCTGACCTCACTCCTTCCTGCCTGGGCCTAGCTGATGAAGTGTGTAGTGATGGGGAGCAGGACTTGAAGAGTCTCTGCCCGGGGACCTGCAGCTTTTCTATGTCTGAACAGGACCTGGCAAATGTGTCTTCCATCTGACAGTAAAGTAGAGCTTGGCTTGTCAGACAAAGCCTCCTCCCTGGGCAGCCGGCCTCGGGACACCCTCCTTTGGGGCGGGGCATTGAAGGCAAGTGCCAAACAGCAGTAGTTGGATGCTCTACCACGTAAACACACATTTAGCTTTGCATTTCACTGAACTGGCCTGCCTCACCGTGAGATAGTTGAGCTCGGATAATAGCGCTGCCCAGTTGGACTGGAGGCTCTAGACTTCAAACTCAGAATTTGCCTTGTTTCTGCTGCGAATCCCAGCTGCCACCTTGGAATTTTGGTATTGAAAGTAAACAAGTCAATCATCAAGCATGAGCCATATGCCCCACCTGGTTCAGAGCTGCGCTCCTTCCGCTATGAGAGCAAGAGTTTTAACCACAGAGTGATGAATAAATGCTGTGATGTCTCAGGGATAAAAGCAGGAAAAGAAAAGTAGGAGGTGCCTAAGGAATTCAGAGGAGCAGGTGACATGAATGGATGCTGAAGTCTCCCATACCTGTGTCCCCCAACTCCCCCCGTGCTCCCCTGACATGCCTGCATCCTCCACTGTGTCCCCCAACTCCCCCCGTGCTCCCCTGACATGCCTGCATCCTCCACTGTGTCCCCCAACTCCCCCGTGCTCCCCTGACATGCCTGCATCCTCCACTGTGTCCCCCAACTCACCGTGCTCCCCTGACATGCCTACATCCTCCACTGTGTCCCCCAACTCCCCCCGTGCTCCCCTGACATGCCTGCATCCTCCACTGTGTCCCCCAACTCCCCCCTGTGCTCCCCTGACATGCCTGCATCCTCCGCTGTGTCCCCAACTCCCCGTGCTCCCCTGACATGCCTGCATCCTCCACTGTGTCCCCCAACTCCCTCCGTGCTCCCCTGACATGCCTGCACCCTCCACTGTGTCCCCAACTCCCCGTGCTCCCCTGATATGCCTGCATCCTCCACTGTGTCCCCCAACTCCCCGTGCTCCCCTGATATGCCTGCACCCTCCACTGTGTCCCCCAACTCCTCCCGTGCTCCCCTGACATGCCTACATCCTCCACTGTGTCCCCCAACTCCTCCCGTGCTCCCCTGACATGCCTGCACCCTCCACTGTGTCCCCAACTCACCGTGCTCCCCTGACATGCCTGCACCCTCCACTGTGTCCCCAACTCACCGTGCTCCCCTGACATGCCTGCACCCTCCACTGTGTCCCCAACTCCCCCCGTGCTCCCCTGACATGCCTACATCCTCCACTGAGCTTCCTAATGCTACCAACATTTTAATCTCCAAAAAACACGAGGGGTGGAGAGAGAGGGAGGGAGGGAGGGGGGAGGAGTTGGGGAGAGAGAGGGCAGGAGGGAGGGGGAGAAGCAGAAGTAAAGGAGGGGAGGAAGGAAGGAGGGATGGAGGGCGGCAGCAGGAGAAGAGAAGAGAAAATCTCTGGGTTGAGGAGAGGGCTCAGTGGTTCAAGCACTTTCAGAAGACCCAAGTTTAGTCTCCAGCACCCACGTCGGGAGGCCGCCCGTAACCCTAACTCTAGAGAATCCGATGCCTCTGTGGACACTCACACATACATTTGCATGAGCACACATAGACAAACTCACTAAAAATAAAAAAAAATCCTCATCGAGGTGTGGTAGTTCATGCACTTAGAAGGTGGAGGTGGGGCAGGAGGATCAGGGGTTCAAGGTTATGCTTGGCTACGTGGCAAGTTCAAGGCCAATGTGGAAGACATGGGACCATGTTTTAAAAACCAAATCAAAAAAAAAAAAAAAAAAAAAAAAGATGGGGGAGGGTAGGAAAAGAAAGAGAAAGAAAAAAAGGCAGAAAATTTCTTTAAAAAAAAAAATCCTAAGGTCTCAAATGGGGCAAGTTCAGTTAAGAAGGGTCAATTTTTGTCAGGTGGTGGTGGCGTGAACCTTTAATCCCAACACTTGGGAGGCAGAGACAGGCGGATCTCTGTGAGTGGAGGCCAGCCTGGTCTACAGAGTGAGTTTCAAAAACAGTCAGGGCAACACGGAGAAAATAAAGAGGGAGGTCAATTTCCACTTACAAAGACTGGCTAGAGTTACTTTGGATCTGCAGAGCTTAGACAGTGTTCCCTAAGGACACCCCTCCCCCTTAGCCTTTCCCGACAAGCTGGGCACTGCCTAGATATGTACACCCTGAGCCAGCGGGCCCACCCCTCTGCCTCCTCCCCTCCTCTCAGATGAGCATCCAGCAGATCCCTGACACTAAATGGACCACTGCTTTGATGTCAGACACCAGGAGCGGGGCTGGTGGCACACAGGAAATGATTCCACGATTCCTTCAGATGGTCTCGTAAGCGAGTCTCCTAAACAGCCACTAGACTTCATGCAGGAGTCTAAACTAGAGGTGTGTGTGTATGGTGGGTTGTGGGCACCCAGGAGGGTGTTCACTGTAAGGAAGGAACAGAGATTTGACCCTTAGGCTGCAAAGGACAAAACATCCAACTACAGGGACTTAGGTTGTATGATATTTACTATCTCACAGATAAGAATCATGGAGGTAAAAAGTTCTTGACTGACTGAGCTGGATGCTATTTATGTATGCATGTATGTATACATATAAAAATGTGTGCGCAGGACTGGAGAGATGGCTCCAGGGGTTAAGAGCACTGACTGCTCTTCTAGAGATCCCAGGTTCAGTTCCCAGAACCAACATGACAGCTTACAACAGTATGTAATTCCAAGATCTGACACCCTCCCACAGAATTCAGGCAGGTAAAACACCAATGCACGTAGAATAAAACTATTTAAAAAAAAGAAGAAGAAAGTGTGCAAGTGTGTGCAGGAGGGTTCATTCCTTATGCACTAACCACCTCAGGTTGTTGTGTGTGTGTGTGTGTGTGTGTTTGTGCGTGTATGCGTGTGTGTTTAAATTATGTGTCTCTGTATGTATGCATCTCAACAGAAGGAAGGAAAGATGGAGGAAGGGAAAGGAAGGGCCTTTTGGGAGGGCAACAAAAACCAGGTAGTCCTTCAGCTTTCTACACTGTTTTGTGAGGTAAGGTCTTTCATTGGCCTGGAACTTGTCAAGTAGATTAGATTGGTTTGACCAGCAAACCCCAGGGATCCCCCTGCTTCTGCCTACCAATGACTGTCACTATGCCTGGCTTCATTTTCACGTGGGTCCGGGGCTTGAACCCAAGTCCCTATGATCGTATGACACACACTTTACCAACCAAGCCATCACTTTTGTCTTATTTATCTCCCCGAGGTGAGTTTATTATTTATTTACTTAATTTTATTCTTCTGTCATAAATCACAGCCCAGCTATAGTTTCCTTCCCTCCCCTCCTCCCAGTCCCTTCCACACCCCCCTCTCCGTCCCCAGATCCACCCCTCATCTCCCTTGTCTGTTTCCTTTCAGAAAGAGCAGGCCTCACAGGGCCTGAACACAACTGAACACAACACAACGAGTTTTGATGACCAGGCACACACCCTCACATCAAGGCAGGATGAGGTAGGAGGAAAAGGGTCCCAAGAGCAGGCAAGAATGAGAGGCACCCCTCACTTCCCGCAGTCAGGAATTCCACAAGAACACCGAGCTACACAACCAGAACATATATGCAGAGAGCCTAGCTCTGACCCACACAGGCTCCGTGGTTGACACTTCAGTCTCTGTGGGCCCCTATGAGCCATGTTCTTGTGGTGTCCTCAAGCCCTCTGGCTCCTGCAATCCCCCCTCCATCCCACCTCTTCCATGGGGTCCTCCTAGCTCTGCCTAATGTTTGGGTGTGGGTCTGTATCTGCTCCCATCAGTTGCCGGAGGAAACCTCTATGGTGATGCCTGGGTTAGGCACCGATCTATGAGTATAGCAGAATGTCATTAAAAATCATTTCATTGTTTTGTTTTCGCCAGTTGTATTCGGTTCTCTCCTAGGTCTCTCGGCTGTCCAGCTTCTGGTTCCTCAGCCTCCAGGCAGTCAGGCATAGGATCCCTCTCATAGCGTAAGCCTCATATTGGACCAGTTATTGGTTGGCCACTCCACAAGCTCTCTTCCACCATTATCCCAGCCCAACTGGCAGGCGGGACACACTTTAGGCTGAAGGGTTTATGGCTGGGTTGATGTTTCAGTCCTACCTCTGGAAGCCTTGCCTGGTTACAGAAGATGGACAGTTCAGGTTCTGTGCCCCCCATTACTAGGAGTCTTCACTAAGGTCACCTTCATAGATTCAAAAATATAACACTTCATGAATTTTTGCATCATTCTTGTGCAGGGGCCATGCTAATCTCTGTATAGATCCAGTTTTAGTATATGTGTATGTGTTGCCAAAGCAGACACCCAAGGTGAGTTTAATGAAAGCATTTTATCCTTCCACTTGGCATTTCTGATCCAACAGTTCTGTAATTTTCTGGTACATAAAATATACCTCAAGGTTTCTAGAATCTTCTAAAATCTAACACACTCTGCCAAATCTATTTATTTATGAGGCTCCTGTAAACCAATACATTTCGGTTCTGCAGGAGACTGCCCAGTGACTGTGGGCACACCCTTGCTGCCACTCCCAAAAATAACGAGCTGGGTCAGCTTCACCTGCCTTTGCTAAAGCAGGTTGCATTCCTTAAAGACGCTGACATCTGTTTGATCACATGAGTGCAGCACACTCGTGTTGGAGCAGCAGTGGGCCGTGAAGGAGGCTGTGCCACTCCGAGAGAAGAGGGATAAGTGACCTCTTTGTGCTTGTCAATATTCAACCTGGGAGGCCACCTGGGGGAACTCTTCCCAACGCAAACCACGGGAAGAAAAACACCCCATGAGTCTACCTTTGGACCACAGCAAAAATGTTCTGCTTTGGGGGGGCAGTATTTGTTTTATTTCATTTAGCTTTTTGAGATAAGGTCTCCTACATATAGCCCTGGCTGTCCTGGAACTCACTCTGTAGACCAAGCCGGCCTCACACTCAGAGAGATCTGCCTGCCTTTGTCTCCCAAGGGCTGGAGCTAAGGACATGCACTACCATGCCCAGCTTTCTTTGTGGCCTTTCCTCATGGTATACTGTATTTTTAAATGATATTACAGTATTTACCTGTTCCATACTGCTTTCACTAAATAATTCATTATGAATATTTAACTTTATTTTTTTATGTTTTTAAATTTTTTTTGAGGTAAAGTCTCAAGTAGCCAGAGCTGGCTTCCAACTCATTTTTGTAGCTAGGGATGACCCTGATTCCGACACCTCCTGCCACCCCCTCCCAAGCGTTGAAATTTCAGGTGTAATAAACAGGGCACCCAGAATGGTGGGCCATGCCATAATCCAGCTCTTTGGAGTTCAAGGCCAGCCTTCTCTACATAGTGAGTTCTAGGCCAGCCAGTGTGGTGACTGTTTTCATCCAGGCAAAAGCAAACCTGACCCCACCCCTTGGGGACCTGGCACGCATGGCAAGCAGTGCCCTGGCTCTGTACACAGGTGCAAAGGTCCCTCTAAGAGACAAGTCCCTTTCTGTAGGTTCTCTGAGAAGGTACCTCTCTCTCTCCCCTCTCTCTGTCTCTGTTTCTCTCTGTCTCTCTCTCTCCTTTTCTTACTCCCTCCCCTTTCCCCAATAAACTTTCCACATAAGTCTTACCTGATGGCCTATTTGTCTCTCAACCACCATGGGACCCATTAAAGGTCCCACCTCGAGCCATATTCATAACCGTGACACCCTGTCTCAAAACACAAGAGCAAACAAACACTTCTGTGGTGTTTTTTTATGAACCAGTCACTAACCAAACCCAAAAATATTAACTCATGATCTCACACCAATTTCTTTGTCTCTTGGGGCCCATCTTTCCTCCCTGCCCTGAAGTGTGCGCTCCCCACCCTCCCCGGGGTGGGTAATCTCTCCAAAGAAGAGCTTGAGGAGCCCCTGTAGCCTCAAGTTTGTCCATCGACAAGATGTTCTAGAAGGAATCATTTCCAGCTCCGCCTTTCCCTCTCTCCCAGCATAAGGATTTGCCGCTAGAGTTCGTGGAATGTAAATATCTTCCGTATTTATTTATTTTAGCGTCGACCACGTGATCTGCTTTATCCCGGGCAGCGTTTGTGGTCCTGGCACGAACACAGTCCTGGGCTGGAGCAGACTGGCTGGTCTGGTTTGGCCTCTGGCCCCTGTTTCCACTGGGGCAGGCCCATGAAGTTGATCTGCGCCAGCCCCGAAGCCTGGGGCGGAGCCCTGTCAACCCCGCAGGAAGAAACAAACGCCGAGCAGGTGGAGCTGAGCTGGGGCTGCTGCCGGCCTGCTGTTTGGTCTAAGAACAGATGTCGGGGAGTCTGAAGGCTGAGGGCAGGGCTCTCAGGAGAGGGGGACGGGCAGCGGTGCTCCCCTTCTCCTCCTCCTCCCTCCCCTCCCCTCCCCTACTGTCCCCTCCTCTTCCCTCCCCCTTTCTCTCCTTTTTCTTTCCTTCCTCTTCCTTTCTCCCTCTCCTCCTTCTTCCCTGGCCTGTTTTCCTGTATCTACTCACTTCCTATGTGCTTCTGTCCGAGTCCTTGGTGCCCTCCTCCCCCATGGAACGGGCTAGCCTCTCCCCAGCTCTGCAGAGTCCTGTATCACCCACCCCACCCCCCAACACACACACACACACACACACACACACACACACACACACACACACACACACACACACACACAGAGTTGGTCTTCATTTGCATCCCATCTGGGCTCTGATAAAAATCCTCATAACCGGCTGGAGAGACAGCTCTGTGGTCAAGAGTCCTGATGCTGCTTTCCCAGAGGACCAGGGTTCGATTCCCAGCACCTATATGGGGGGCTCACAACTGTTTGCAACTCTAGTTCCAGAGGATCCAGTGCCTTCTTCTGACCTCCTCCAGCACCAGGCAAGCACACTATACACTTACATCATGCAGGTGAAACATATAAAAGTATGCATATAAAAAGTATAATCAATAATTAACTGTTCTGTGGGTGGGTACCTTTGTCCCTACATCACTAGTGAGGGAAGGGAGATTCAGGACAGCAACCTGACAGGCTCCCACACCATGGAGCTCCGTAGCTGTGAGGCAAGCCAGTCAGGCTCACTGGACTCTGCTGGTGTGGCTGTCCCTAAAGCATCCCTCATTTGCCAGTGCCATTGTTGGTGGCATTTAGACAGCTTTTCTGTTTGCCATCATGGATTTTCCTTTGCTTGTTTTTCTTTTGTCTTATGAATATTGCAGGTGTGAGCCTGCTTTGGATGCTGGTTCATATATAGGGTGAAGATATTTTCTAAAAATACAAAATGTGAACTTTCTCTTTTTAAAGGCATGTTTATTGTATATGTATGACTGTTTTCCCACATGTCTGTAAAGGCATCACATGTGTGCCGTGCCTGCAGAGGCTGAAGAGGATGCTGTATCCACTGGTGCTGGAGTTAGAGATGGTTGAGAGCCTGTTGACGAGCTGGGAATTGAATCCAGATCCTCTGGAAGAGCAGCAAGTGCTCTGAACACCTGAGACATCTTTCCAGCACCTATTTTTGCTTTTTAAGACAGTGTCTCTCGTATCCCAGGCTGGCCTTGAATGTCCTATGAAGTTCAAAGGTGACCTTGAACTTCTGATCCTCCTAACCTCTCTCTGCCTTCTGTGTGCTGGAATTACAGGTGTGATAAAGCAAGTCAGGCAAACCTTTCTTTCCTTTCCCGTTTCTCTTTCTTTCTTGCTTCCTTTTCTTTTTTTTTTTCTTTGAGTCACTTCGTAGCCAGGCATGGTGGTGCATGCCTGTAGTACCAGCTCTTGGGAGCTAAGGGAAGGTTCAAGGCTAACTTGGTCTACATAGCAAGTTCTAGGACAGCCAGGGCTACACAGAGAAACCCTGTCTTGAAAAACCATAAGCAAACAAATAAATAAAATAAAAAGTCACTGTGTGTGATATTGTATGTGTGCTTGTGCTAGCCCCTATGTATACATGCGGAGGTCAGAGGTCAATGTCAAATGTCTCTAGGCGGCTGCTTTAGCTTTGAGAACGGGTCTCTCACTGAGTCTGGTGCTAGGCATTGAGTCCCTGGGATCCACTTACATCTGTGCCTCCCCCTTCCCCATGCTGAGTTACACATGTCCCTCCAGCTTTTTACATGTGTGCTGGGTATCCAAACCCAGGTCCTCATGGGTGGTCAGCATGCCACAGGCTCTTTACTGAGGCATTTCCCACCTCTATTCCTTTATTTTTAAAACACTGCATCCTTCTGAGTAGGAAACTGATCTCATTCAATATACAAAAATCCATGCATTACAGAAGTAAATATAGAACATTAATATCTCTGTGATTCAGTAGTCTCAAAACCATTGGCTCAGAGGCTGGATGGAAGGCTCAGCAGCTGAGAGAGCTTGCTGCTCTCACAGAGGACCCGAGTTCAGTTCCCAGCATCTGTGTTGGGTATTACTCTAACTGTAATTCCAGATCCAGGGCATATGACACCTTCTCCTGGCCTCTTTGACTAAGCACAGGCTCACAACTCTTTAATATAAGATGAACCCAAATCTGGAAAGTTCTTTTTAATAACCAGGATCATTAGTAACATTTTTTTATTGGAAAACCTATAAATATGTGCTCCAGATACACATAAAAGTAAAGAAGGCAAAATCTAAAATCATTTTTTTTTTTTTTTGTTTTTTGTTTTTTTTCAAGACAGGGTCTCTCTGTGTAGCCCTGACTGTCCTGGAACTCACTCTGTAGATCAGGCTGTCCTGGAACTCACAGAGATCCACCTGCCTCTGCCTCCTGAGTGCTAGAATTAAAGGCGTGTGCCACCACCATCCAGGTGACAAAAATCATTTTAATGGAAGATCAAGCTATAGAAGAATAAACAGAGGGTCAAACTGTGTAGTTTGGTGACAGTATTTAGACATTGTCAAGGTGTTTTCTCAAGTCATTGAACATTCTCTACAACATTTAGGGCACAGAATCCATGACTGCTTCCTAGCCTACTAATGCAGGTTACTGTCATTTATTTAGCTGGTTTCCTAGAGCTAAATGCTCAGTTACTTCAGTTATGTTGTACTTTTAACGCTAACAGCTAAGATGCCCCTGGACATAGTGAGAGAGGAGACATTTGCATGATCTCAGATCGTTCCCCTAAAGCACATTTCTGTCTAATTTCAGCACATTTGCCTGGCTCAAGTCTGTGCACATTGATAAGATCCTTGTTCCTCGTGACAGCCAGCTTTACTCCCATTACTCCCCAGTACAGGGTATTGCTGCTTACATTACACTTAAAGGGAGGGGCCTGGAGAGGTGGCTCAGCAGTGAAGAGTCCTGGCTCCTCTCCCAGAGGACCTGGGTGCATTCCCAGCTCCCACAGGGCAGCT